TTCGAGGCGGGCTCCATACGATTTTGCCGTGGACGTCCGGACTGGCTTTCATACGAACCATGTTTCGTATGGAGATTTTGCGTCATCGTGTGCAGAAAGATTTTTCGCGTACAAATTTGGTACGAGAAACATCGATTTTCCGCGGGAAGTTTTGATTTCGGTACAAATTTTCAAAATAAAAAGGCATAGCGCGGGAATGTGACGTATTGGAAGTCTCAGACAAAACTCAATTTCTGCCGACTTGTATTGTATTGTACAGTGCGAGTCGTACTGCTCAATGAAATCCAGTCGAGTTTCTCAAGTAAGCGCCGGGCATTGCGCAGCCCTACACCTGCGAACACTGGGCTGCGAAAAGGTGCACGACGCTTACTTGCATTGTTGACTCTCGCGACTGGATTTCATTGAGCAGCACTATGTTGTGTGATGCGTGTGTGTGTGCGTGTGTGTGTGGCGCGTGTATTACAGTTTTTGTGTATACATTGTATGTATGTGTATGTGTGCGTATGTGTGTTTAGGTGCGATAATGCGGGAGTGTGTGTGAGCGAGAGGCTGTGTGTGGATTAGTGTGAGACGGTGTGTGTGTGTTGTTGTTCTTTTTATTTGAATTCGCATGTGTGTGTGTGTGTGTGGATGAGTGTGCGTGTTCATGTTTCACCATATGCACCCAGCACCTTGAGACGTTGACTCTGGCACGTCAGAGCGCACTGCCTCTGGGAGGTGTTGATTATCATAATAATTGTCTGCACTGGATTATTCTATCTCCTCTGCTTGCCTTCATATACCTGCGGTTTTTTTCTTATCTCCTCTAGTATGTTGTGTGATGATTGGTTTTTGCCATGAAACTCTGAGTAACAACGAACCAGCCCTATTTTACTTCCTTTTGTGTACCTCTTGCGTACGTCTGCACTACAATGAAAAGGTACTCTCCACACGGGGGCTCGCGCTTTTCCGCCGACTGACTCAGGTTGACACTATAACTCACGACTGCAATCCTGAACACAGGACACGTCCATCGAACCTTCCATTCGGCAAACCGGCAAGAAAGCATCACTCCCTGTTCACACAGTCACGGTGTCGGGGAATTCACCCCTCATCTGTTGAGCTTGAGTAGGCTGAGGAAGATTGTGTTCGAAGAGTACCACTTATTTTTTAGCACCACTTGTAAAGTGCGCTCCAGGCCAAACCATCACCAGGGCCTAAGGATACAAACTTACAGAAACGCTCGGTTTACACTTTACAACGAAGCCAACACCTCGTGAACACTAGATATTATAGCAACAAAAACTGCTTTATGGCAGTTTTCTAAAAAAAGTTATTGTGTTCTAGTCCATGGATCCCGTCTAAAAAGTAAGAAATTAACGAAATGTGATAGCTGAAAATTAAAATTTCACACAAAACCTCACAATAATCACACACAGAATGAAAAGCTACATGCAGAAGACCTTTTCCCCTCGTGATCCTCTTTCCTATGCATGCATGTTGCCAATTGTTGGTGCAGTACAAGTTTAGTGTTGAAAGCAGCATTTCAAGTGTTGTGATTATTGTGAGGTTTTGTGTGAATTTTAATTTTCAGCTATCACATTTCGTTAATTTCTTACTTTTTAGACGGGATCCATGGACTAGAACACAATAACTTTTTTTAGAAAACTGCCATAAAGCAGTTTTTATTGCTATAATTTCTTTTGTTTTTTTCTGTCACCAATCAATGGAATGCCCTATATCAATATGTAAATGATGGCCTTCACATCATATCAAGAGTCCATAAACTCTTGATCATATCAATACCATATTATACGCATTGATGTGCAAGCCTTTTCTTGCAGAAAATGGCACTAGCATAATGCATGTTCTTCTGCGGGGAAACATGTGAGCAGTGGCGGTGATACTTTTTTTATACGGAGGTCATTCTGTGCATGTTGCTGTTGCAGAATTTCATGACTCTGTCATAAAATTGTCTTGCCTTTCAGATATTTCAGTTTTATTTGAGAAATGTAGCCATGCGCCAGGTGCGTGTCGCAGATGTTTTTGTTGATTCTGTGTTTATAATGGTTTATAGTCATGGGTTATCGTGATAAGGTCATCCAGCATCATATTGAAACTGAAATCGTAATCCTGTTGATGTCGATACAACTTTTGGAAGTAGTTCAATGACTTCAAACTGTTAGTCCACGATTATCTAAAACAACACAGCAAAGGAGGAACAATAAACATGTATTAAAATGTAAACGAATACATTGCTGAGTCCAAAACCTCGTTCCAACAACTACACTGATCCTGAGGAGAAAAGGGGCAAGGCTATGGTTGGAGGTACTGAGAGATAAACAAGGCACTCCACAATAATAAAATCTTACACATCTTTTGGTGAGTATGAATGATATCCAGTCGAACCTCTTCAGGGCGAACACCAAGGGACCGATGGTATTTATTCTGTGAGCTTAACCTAATTTGTAACCAGAGAATACAATTATATCTCCAATAGACATACGAATATCTTCTACAGCGAAAGATTCTAAGCCACATTGACTCGTCTCGTATGAAACAATTGAGTCACTAGAGAGATTCTGCAAAACGAAAATGCGTACAAACTTTCGCACTACACGGGTGT